CATCTTTCCAAAGGTTCTATAGTAAGAGATTAAAAACAACAACAACAACAACAACAACAAAACTCAACCTAGAGCTATAGCCAAATAAATACATTGTTGGTCAAAGATATACTTCTCACCTTTTCCAAAAGTCACAAAGAAGAGTCAGTTGGAGAATCAGTAATTTTAGGACCTATAGGTCTTGATTCTTCTTCTCTGAAAGTTGACCTAATACAGAGGAGAAACATAAAGGGGCCCACAGAAAGGCTGCGAGCAGTCATGCCTTGCCTTCTGAACAGAGAGAGCAGGCTAATGCAGAGAGGGTCACCCTCCTCACCCTAATGCAGTGGTGGCACCAAAGGCCATGTCTATCCAGATGCTTAAAATCATTTAGCGTCATCAGAAAATGAGGTGCTCCCAGTAAAACGAATTTTTCGGATGACGGGATTTTCCCTTTCAAAGGCCAAAACTTTCCTTTGAGCAACATTAACTTGGTATATTTTTAAGCTCTACATATGAAACACCTTAGGCTTTTATTCAATATCTTTGAAACACTCTGATGAAGGAGTTGGATAAAATAAACTCTAAGATCGCTCTACATCTGAAAGGTCCATAATCACTGAGCTAAGTGAGCTATTACGGGGAGGACAGCAAGACCTAAGGGTCCACTGGACTGTTTGCCCCAATCCTGGAAGGCCCCAGGCTTTGCTAATTCTGCATGTGCTGTGAGCTCTTCTGCTACCTTCTTCACTGTGAGGCTGTAAGATGCACTTTTCTTTCTTGCGAACAGAACCCACCTTTCACAGCATGTTCTTTCTTAGCTGCTAGCACCTGCTATCCCACAAGATGGCTAGGCTTGTTATAATTCTACGTTAAATATGAGAAAGTAGATGAAGATCTCTGCTAGCAGGAAAGCACTGGGCTTAATGTAGACTCCCCACCAGCTCAGAGATCTTTCTGGCTCTCCTAGGTGGACACTGGGTTTTGGAGGCCAACATCGCAAGAGATCTAATCTTCGAAAGAGTGAGACCTCGTCAGGCTAAATTTGATTGTGAAGTGGGTATTTAACAGTTGTCATCTGATGATGCCCAAAGCTGCTCTGGACTTCTTAAAAACTTTGAATAAGTGATCGCCGAGCAGCATGAGCTGCATAATCACTTTGGAGAAATAGTAGGATGGAGGAAGAAGGTATTCATCGTCAGAGAAGAATACAGCTTGGCATCCTCATGTTCTTGGGTTCAGAAGATTAATAACTGTCGGTCTTTCTGGTTCTCATTCCCTGGTTGTACTTCTCTCTTACCTCCCTCAAGTGCAGTCTCTGATACTTGATTTTTGTTCAGTTTTTCTCTTTCTAATATTATGTGTTCTCTTTGACATGGTCACTAAGCTGGTCTCTTTATTTTAGTTGATGTCTCTTCTGCTCTATCTTTGGGCCCAATTCTGATTATCTTTGTATCCACTTCTTAGAGGCATCTCCCAGTCTCTTTGGGCTGACTTTTGCTCACTTGAGCTCTGCCCACTTGCACTCTGACCCTCACTGTCTTTCCACCCCCTTTGGGTATCACTTTCTGACTCAAACAAAGGTCAAGGAATAGGGTTGGGATTTCCCAAAAGGAGGATTGGTCTCATGGTCTGCCTTCACTATGTGTCCTTTCCCTGGGTGTGGGGCAGGGAGGAGGTGAGCAGAGGCCTCAACCCTTCCACGTTGTGCAAAAGCCCGACCTCAGAGTCTCGCATCCCATCCTGGGGTACCATTCCCCTTAGGTTGGACCTGAGTGCTTTCTTCCCGTCACTGGGTGGAAAGACCGCCTGTAAGCCCTGCCGTCCATGTGATGATATACATGGCTGCTCCGAGGGGTAGGAGATCCATGAATGGGAGGATGGTTCCCAGGACCAGTGCTAAAATGGTGGTTCGTTCAACCTGCAGCAAAAAATTAAAGGCCTTATGTAGTTATAAATTGGGGCCCATATTTATGCAGCTGGCAGCCAATGACTGTAAAAGAAATAGAAACAAGAAGGGCATGATCTTTTTAAAGACAAAAGAAAATTCCATTTTCATACTAAGTAGATGACCCTATTAATGACTATTTTAGGCTGAATACAAATTGACTGCTTACCCACAGGAACAGTTTATAACAAGAACTTCATCTACACGCAAAATCAAATATAACACGCACCACCTCCACCCCAAGACGCCACCCTCTGCTCAATGAACAGTAAAGCAGTAGACTGGACAGAAACGGACTGTCCCATTTTGCCTCATTAATACCACACCGTAACACCACAATCACAACCGGGTCACATTTTGCCATATGTACACATAGACAGTGATCTAGAGCGTGGTGGCTGCCATGGAAATTTGCCTGTAACTTATGGAACTTTTGGAAAATTTCCTGTAACTTATGCAATTTGCCTGTAACTAATTCTGCCATTTCTATACTGCTGGGGACTTTTAGGATCTAAAAATTCTGGAAGCATCTTCTAGAGTTGGCATCCTCCTGGCTACGTCTGGTGTCACTCAAGAGACAGTGAAAAACATCTGTGTGCTGAAACATCATCTTACCTTGAATCTAAAAGAGAATCAATTCAGTGATAAATCAGTCAGAAGAGATTTCCACAGGTGAACGCTTGTCAAAGATCTTTACATGGCGCCCCCTTGGTTTCCTAACCCATTTTAACATCTTACATTATTTTTATTGTGGTAAAAAATACGTGAAATTTACCATGTGAATGTCTAACTGGTTAGTACAATAGTGTTAGCCAAATGGCAGAACTTTTTATCTTACAAAAAAATGATACCTCTGGAACAACTCCCTTCCCCCCTACCCCACAATGGCTGGCAACTGCCTTTCTACTCAATGTTACTAAGAGTTTGACTACTTTAGTTACCTCATCTGAGTGGAACCTGCCTTCTATCTCTCAAGCATAGTGTTCTGGAAAATGTTTTCTTCATCTGAAAAACAGTAGAGTCCCGAAGAAGAACTACTGGTCTTAACTGTGTCGCTCACCTTACCTAATTTTATTTAACAATTATTCACTTATGGTGAAATAAAAATGTCCTGATCAAGTTTACTAGGCTCAGTGGGATCTTTGTTATGTCAGATTATCTCACCAAGGAATTTGAAATGATCTAGGGGTTGAACAGTGGATGTTGAGTTCCGCAGCTGTTTATTATTTTCCAGCCTCTTTAGTATTTGCCACCCAGACATCACACCTGTGGTCTTGTTTGTTCTGAGTCTCAAAATCAGCCCAAGATGAGGCGTGAATGTAACAAATATGGTAGCCAGACTTTCACATGCATTTAAAGAGATGGGTCATCATAGCCCATCCTACAATGGCAAGAGAACCTCGAAGGGAACCTCGACTGTCCATAATTGCCCCTGCCTTGGAAGTCTAGAAGAACTGGTTTTCTGGAGTCACTTCTCCAGTCTCTCTGCGTTTAGCCTGGGGATCATTTCCAACTGTAGACCTTGGAATGCCATTCTTGCATTCTGTGAATTCAAGAAAAACATGGGTAACCTTATCCACATGCCCCTTCTGAGAAAAGAGGCTGACAGCTTCTCCCGATCTCCAACCAGCAGAAACTGCAGAGTGCGACAGCTGCCAAGGCCCTGACCCTGAACTTGTCAACTTCTTCCCTGCCCTCCCACCTCCTTCCTCTTTGCATCCCGGCCAAAGGGAGCTTTCTGCTTCTTTTTTGCTAAAGAGCCTCAGAGAGGAGCATTTGAGCACCGACTCCAGTCAAGAAAGACCACTGACATCTGGGCTCCAAGAGCCTTTGAAATGAGACGGGCATCTAGACTTTTCCAGAGAGGTAGCTACTCTTCCCAACCTCTCTCAAAGTCTGTGGTCTTTCTTATAGGCTAACACCCTCTGCTGACCCAGATGCTTCCTATTCACTCAGACGCCGAAGTAAATGATCTTTGTCATTAGGGAAGTCCGAAGGGCTTAATATTGTACGCTCTGGGGACGAATTTCTCCAGAATTATTATTTCATTTTCTCCCTGTCCGCAAACGCATCTTCCTAAGGACTAGGCTCGTAAGTGCTCTCCCAGGGAAAGCTCTGCGTACGTGGGATTATGTTCACAATGACGATCATCACCGCAGCCCCTAGGATGTTTGAGAAACAAAAATAAGCTTTGCAAGTTGCCTAGGTTCTGCCGACTCAGCAGGCCCCTGCTGGGACCAATCACCGACCGCCTCTGGAAGAGATACGGCCCGATCTTTCCGACGTACTGATTGGCTTTGAGGCCTGGGCGGGGCCACTGCCTGGGTCGGCTCCCGGTAGGTGAGGGAAAGTTAAGGTGGGCCTCCAGCAGGATTTTTGTCCGGTGACAGCAAGGAAAGTCTCGGCGATTTTTTCCCCCCTTGCTTTGGAGGCCCAGGTTCAAGGCAAATTATAAGTGGGGAACCAATTTGAAGGAGAGAAATTGGAACCGAGTTCAGGTGGCAGGTCCTGGGAGAGAAGACCAGCCCTGTCTGAAGTCTGCACCGGCCGCTGACCAACTTGGGGGCCTGGGTTAAGGGAAGAGGGGTACGGCCAGCACAGGTGGAAGAGAAACTGATACTGCCCCAAAGAGGCCATCCGAGAGAGCAAAACTGATGGAGGGCACCAGTCCATGCGCTCGGTATCTTTAATCGGTTAAAGCCTTTACATGATTTCTTCAAGGCTAACCGGCCACAGCAGAGCTGTGCCTTTGATTGGCTAGGGGGCTTTCTGAGAGCCCTAGAATGACGTTTCTCTACTACTGAGCAAGGGACGGGGGCCCCCACTATGCCTCGGTTCAGCCTCCTCTCCCGGTCCCTTTCTGCTGGGCGCGAAACGATGCTCACCAATCCCACCTAAAGCAGGAGCCAAGGAGCCCAGCCTTTTTGTGCACACAGGAGCCGTCACTGGCCTCCTTTTCTGCCCCCAAGACAAGAGAGGACTCTTGGAAGCCGAGTAGGGTTTCAGAAGTCTTTCTGGACTGAGCCCAGCGTGGTGAGAGGCGAAGGCCCCCGGCGGCCGGCGGGAGGCGGGAGGGGGCGCCCAGGGCCACCATGGGCCTGCTCAAGGGCCTCCTCGGGGCGCGAAACCTGCTGCTCGTCATCTTCGTGCCGCTCCTGCTGCTGCCCCTGCCCATGCTCCACCCCAGCAGCGTGAGTACCGCGCGTCGCCTCCTGCCCCTGCGGGCCGGCAGTGGGGGGCGAGGGCAGGGGGGCCGAGGGATGGGGTGCGAGGCTGCTCCTCTGCGAGCTTTGCTCCCGGGATCTGGGCATGGACGGGTCTTTCTGGGGGAGGCTCGAACGCTTTCTTCCCCCACGCTGCCACTTTTGTCCCTCCTCACCCTTCCCAGGGCCCCGACCACATGGCCCCCAGCCAGGGCTGAGGTTGGCGGGGGGCGGCGGAACCCGCTGAGGGGTGCTACCGCGTCCTCGGGCCGCCAGAGCGGGGGCCACGCGCTGTGCCCCTGCGGAGAGGGACACGCTGCTGGGCCGACATTTGTCCTGGGCTCAACAGGGTCACCATGTGACCGGCTCTCTGCGAGGGAGCTAGAGAGCAGGGAGGCCTCCCAGTAAGGACACAGTGGGGGTAGGGGGAGTGATGCCGGAGGGAGGGGATTACCCTGCAGGACTGGGGGGTCGTGGGCGAAGCTGGGGGGTGGCATGGGGGAGGGGGGGCACTGGGACTCCTTTGCACCCACCAGGGGCTGTTGTTCTGCTAACCACACTTTGAAATGCAGTCTCCGAAGTCCCTCTGAACTTTACATTGAAGCAGAGCTTGGCATCTTGCCCCAGTCCCATGCCTACGGCCCTTTGATCATGTGTATCCTCTGTGTTTCCTTCTCTATGCCCTTGAAGGAGGCACATTCAACAACGCGATAAAAAAAGAAATAAGAGCCCCCAACTCTAGACCATGACCCAATTTTTGAGCAGTTTGCATGAGCAGTGGTGCCAAAGCTTTGGGTCTGCCTTCACGCGCCTTCCTTCCCTCCCTGTCTCCCTCCTCCTCCTCTGCTCCCTCTTCCTCCCCCTCCTCCTCTCCGGGGCTATGCCCCTTGTCCTGCAGGCACTACCCTTAAGACTTCAGGAAAAATAAGCTAAGAGAGGTTAATCATGTTTGTGAGAGGGGAAGAGATTTTTCCATGCAGCTCCCAGAGTAACTTGGTAACCAACATTGAGTTAGAAAGTTAAATAGAGGGGATTAGAATGTCTTAAAAACAAACGGGCCTAAATCTTTACTAGAATAAATACCCCAGAGTGCCAGGGAGCCTCGGAGTAACAGCCGCCCCGGGATTAGCAGAGACAGTGATTGCTGCTGACAGTTTTCCTGGGCTCCTGCTAGTCCATGCTCCGCTCTGTCCAAATGGGCTGATCGTTCTTTCTTTCTTTTTTCAAAGTTTGTTGTTGTTGTTTTTACTCAATATTTGATGCACTTAAGGGAATGTTCACCAGAGACACAGTGCCCTCCTCTCCGTGGTGGTATTAGGCACTCTGTGTCCCCCTAAGTCAGCCCCATTTGGGAGGACCATGACTCTAGGGTGTGGTGTTGCCTGGTTTTCATTCTGGGGACCTGGCTTTGAGCGCCTCAGTCACCAATGACTCGTAAGAAGAATCCACAAGAAGAAACAAAATAAAATACCAGTTATTGAAGTAGGCAAAATAATCTATAATTCTGATGGAAGACAGGTGTTATTTTAAAAAGAAGGGAAAAAAATCTTGGGGTGGGGGAAGAGGAGAGCAAAGGAAAAGCAGGTGAACCTCTGGTCTGTTTGGATTTGTACATAATCTTTGAAGAGATTTTTACAGCTGGACTTACGGAGACCAAGGGACTCTGTCTCTTCCCTCCTCCCACTATGACAACATAAAATGCTTCCAGATATCGCCCAATATCCCCTGGACTGCAGGGGGGCCGGGGAGGTGCAAATTCGCCCCCTTTAAGAAGAAGTGCCTTTTAGGAAAGTAAACCTAACACTACCTCAGGGCCTCCCGGTCGGTGCACGTGACGGATACTGGGACTCCCATAATCCCGGGGAAAGCTAGATGGAGTCCGGTATGGCCGGTGTCCTCAGAGCTGGATGCAGCTCACTTGCCACTTACCCAGAGTGCCCTCCAAAGGTGATTTCCGTTTGTGTCACTGTATCAGCGAGAGCTCTGCTCTTCTTCTACAAGGACATAAAATCACCTTGAGGTGACCAGTGCCCACAGTAAGCACAAACCAACACATAGAAGGTCTCTCACCCATTCTTACTCCCACGTGTCAAACTTTTAGATTCTGATATTGAATCCTCAGGATTCTAAAGGGGACCTGGCTGCTCCAGGCTGGAGCTGAGGGAAGGGACCCGGCCGGAGTTCCCGGCCTGCCTTTCTAATGGTTCTTCAAAAGATAAGCCACAGCTACATCCTAGGAAGCATTAGAAGGACCCTCCCCTTTTTCCTGCCCAGCTCTCTAACACCAGAGGCCCCGACTTGGTCTCCTATGTTCCAAAAGAGAAGGGCATAGGAGGGGCTTGTCCATAACCAAGACCTGCCTCAGTGTCCCTGGAGGGATAAAGGCTACACCCAAGTCCCAAACGAAATTTCAGAAAGGCCTCATGGTCATGTATGACAACAAATAAACAGACCTCAAGCCCATTCTGGTGAAGTTTGAGTGGAACATCACTGAGATGATCGGACAGCACGGGAAAGGACCAGATGGACACATCAGTTGGTAGCAGAGTCAGGAAACATCCCATATGGGAAATGCCGCTTTTGAGCTTCCTCCTTTATTTGTAAACAGAAGCCAAAAAGAACTGATAATACTATGCTTTAAAGGCACTGCCCGAATTCTCCTCAGCCCCTGCACACCCCCTAACTAGTGGCAGTGATAAGGGGCCAAGGGTTTCCAGAATATTCTCTCCAATAGATAGATAAGAGAAACCCTGTAGCCAGCAGAGGAACCCAGTTCAGTTCAACCAACTTTAATTGAGCCACCTGCCAGACACTGGATGGATGTGGGGCCCCGGGATTCCTGTAATCAAACCTCACAAAGCTTTTGGGGAGGGTATCTAAATGCAAGCTTACCCACTGAATTTTGAGAAGGTTCAGAAGGAGCAAAAGGAAGTTTATGTAAATTCCATGGGTGAACGGGGTGAGAAATATGGAAAAGGGCCTCTGGAGGTAGACTCTTGGCCATTCTCGTGCTGTAAGAAAGTCCAGATAAAAATGATGATGGTGGTTTACCCTGTTCTTAAGGGGGCTTGCTGACTTCCTCCAAGCCAACCTATTCTAATTTGTAACAGTAATTACAATCAACACGTGTACCTTAGCTTACCCAAATCCTCCTAATTCAAACTAAGATGGTACCCAGGAGAAGGTTGGTTCTCTCTTTCTCTCCATCTGTCTTCCCTTCCCCTCTCCCTTAACCTTAATCTGTGGCCCTGTAAGGACAAGAAAGACTAAAGGTCCTTAGGAGGGAATAAGGGCTCTCAGGGAGGGACAGATAGCCTGTCCCTTTTATTTTCAGCTAGAGTTAAGACCTGCCATTCTGTGTCCCAGGGAAGAGATAGGAATAAGTAGGCTCAAGGGGGCTAAAGGCTTTGAAATTCTTTATGTAGTTTTATTTCTGCAACAAAAGCGAGTATTTCTCTAAATTGCATTATTTTCCAATGGAATCTCCCCCCCCCCCCCTTCCTGATTCTGTTTTCTTATCAGCAACTTCTAAAAGTTTTAACTTCTCTCTGATCTTTCGGCCCCAGAGGCTATCTCAGTGGGAGCTACACAGTCAACAATCTTTGGGCCCTGTTCCCATTTCTCAAACCCCAAGACGGTAATCCATGCATATCAGGAGGGAGCAAGGTCCCATCCAGCCAAGCTGGGTTAATCACTCCTGACGCCCCTCACGGATCCTAGCGACCTTTTGGAACTTTTGTGCAAGAGTTTGAGGACGCTTGTTCTGAATCCAAGGGAGAGATAAACAGAACAAGATTTGTCAGGCTCCTTGATCGCCAGCCAGCCTCAGGGCAGGTCAGATCTGAGCCCAGATGGTTTAGGACGATGTATAAATTGAGGAACCCAGAGCTTGCTTGGACCCTCTGTGCAATGGCCCTCCAAGACCACTGTTAAGGTCCTTGGACAGTCACCCCCCCACCCCCGAGAGTAAGTCAGTGACCTTTCTCAGCTCCGTTAATCAGTGAGATTCTGAGCAGCCAGCACTACTAGAGGCTGAGGTTAAGGAGGGCTGGTTGTCGAGAACATTGTTGTGCTTTTTTATTCGATGCACCGCAAGGCTGTACAGCCAGCCACGTGGCAGTGTTGGGGAAAACTGGTAAATTTCCAGGCCTTCCCTTGCGGGTAGATAGCACTTTTGATTCCCTTTATTGGAGGGATGTTTTCCATGTGTATCAGGCAGGGGGGGATGAAGTCCCAGAGCGGTGAGAATCAGACACTGGTAGGGATACGGGTTCTCAACCAGGCACAAATATTCCCCCCAGGGACATTTAGCAACGTCTGAAGGCATCGGTGGTTGTCACAATCGGGAGGTACTACTGACATCTAGTGGGTAGAGGCCAGGGATGCTCTTCACGCCCAGGACAGCCCCCCACGGCATAGACTTTTCCAGCCCTACAATGGGCCAATCTCAGAGCTCACACGTGAATCAGTTTCACAAATGGATCCCAACTTTCAGTCACCCCAAGAACACCAGTATCCAATCAACTCGATGCCAAAATATTCCGCCGCGTGCCCGAACTGTGCACTCCGTCTTTAGAGCCTGTGATCTTGGGTCTGGACACAGTTCATTTCAGTCCCCATCCTGCACAGTTTTAGGCACCGGCAGAGCTGTGAGTCTGGTGGTGTCGCTGCCACAGACCACGTGCCAGGCGCCGGTCCACCCAGGGAGCAGCCATTACAGCACACACCCAAGTGTGGGCCCCACCATGGACCCCACATGGCCCTGCCAAGGCCAGCTCTGCACCTCCCAGGGTTGTGTCCTGGGGCCCGTGTTTGAGTCTGGATGCCTATTGCCTCCACCCCGGGTCTCATTTGGATTCTCCATGGCAGTGGTTCTCCCTGTGACTAACTGCCCACTTTCCTCCCCTTCCAGGAGGCTGCGTGTGCTTACGTGTTGATCGTGACCGCTGTGTACTGGGTGTCTGAGGCCGTGCCTCTCGGAGCTGCAGCGCTGGTGCCTGCCTTCCTGTACCCGTTCTTCGGAGTCCTCCGGTCCAGCGAGGTTAGAACATTGGTGGCCCAGCTCCCTGCTCAGGGCCCCGCTGGGCCAGTGAAAGAGGGCTCGAGGTGAAGGGAGAGTCCCAAAGCACTTAAGGACAGGGCTTTCTTCACCCTCTGGAAAAACCTCTTAGCACTAAGCCTTTGCAGCTGCTATGCCAGGCCCTGAGTTCCTCTCCCATGACCCTCATCTCCCTCAAACTGCCTCTTTCAGGAAGCCTTACTTGACCGATCACATCCAATTGCTCCTTCAGTCTGAAACCCTCTAGGAACTGGGGGGTTAGCACCTATAAGCAACCTGCTGTTGACCTTTTTCAGTCTTTTGTATCCACTTAAACTATAAGGCAGGAATCAAAGGTCAGAATCGGGTTTCCCAGGTCTTTGGAATCTCATTATAAACCTCAGCCCCTATACAGTAAGTGCTCAATAAATGTGTGTTGACAGAGAGACTCATGATGTTTTCCTGAGTCCTGACAATGTTTTCATCCACTTCCCCTAAAAAAAGAAAAAAAATTTCTATTCCTTCTTCCCCAACTCAAGATTACTGCATATTCTTTCCTTGACCTCTGTCTACCTAGAAACTGCCCTCTCTGTCTACTCTCTCTCTCTACGGCATCCTTAAAAACTCATCCAGAAATTGTCAATATCGAGCCCAGGTTGTGGTCAGATTTCAGGGCATACACTTAACACCCAGCACAAGTGGGAAAGAAGAAAAACACAACCAGAACCCAGAAGCAAGATGAAAGATGGTCCCCATCCATTACTACCTGGTTCTGTTTAGACTCTTGTCACAGCACCTGGTCTCTGCTTAGAGCTTCTGATAAAGATCGAATGGTAGCGACGAAGGACAGAGACAAGGAAGAAGGATGAAAGGGAACCAATGTTTGCAGGCCTACGAGCAATCAGGCACTACAGTGGAAGTACTATATTACTTAATGTAATACCCCTGAGATCTCTGCAAGGTGGGTGTTAGTATTTTCATTCTGAGGATGAGTGAAGAGACTCAGAGAGTTAAGAATCACACTCAAAATCACAAGGTAGGAAGTAGCAGAACTGGATTCAAACTCATACCCATTAGATTTCAAAGTATATTCTTGCTTGCTATTCTACCAGACAGACTCAACTGACCAATCTGATTGTTAGTTTGTGTTTGGGGTATTTGGGTTTTTGGTCTTCACTGAGTTTTTTGTTGCTATCGTTTTTTTTTTTCTGTATTGTTCTTGTTTGGGGGTGGAAGAGTTAGTGGCAATGGGTGGCTGTAGTAGTGAAAAAGGATGGGAGCCCCTAAACCATCAGCAGTGCTTTTATTCCTGGAAATGGGTACAACACCAATATCCTGGAGAGTCACAGAAAAGCTAGGCTGTGACCTGCATCACCCAGCAGTTGCTCCAAAGTGTCCCCTTCCTTTGTGGAAACAAGAATAGGTAGTTTGGTCTGAGGGCCTGCCTAAAAGAACCACCAACCTTAAACACGACTGTTCTTAAGAAAAGCATTTAAACTTATTCTGCAGATTTCTCTTTAAAAGTGAGACACCAGAAGCCCATGAATCAGGGGGTGAAAACAGAGGGCAGAGGGAAAAAATGACATTATAGAAAGAATTGAGGGGCGCCTGGGTGGCTCAGTGGGTTAAGCCGCTGCCTTCAGCTCAGGTCATGATCTCAGGGTCCTGGGATCGAGCCCCACATCGGGCTCTCTGCTTGACAGGGAGCCTGCTTCCCTCTCTCTCTCTGTCTCTGCCTGCCTCCCTGTCTACTTATGATCTCTCTCTGTCAAATAAATAAATAAAATCTTAAAAAAAAAAAAAAAGAATTGAATCTTAACTAACATTTAACATGAGCTAACTACTAATTAAAAGATTTCTATCTTGTATTTCACAATGGGCAGCCCCAAAGCCAGCAGCATGACAGCCTTGAAGTAGATGATGTCCCTCTTTCTCCAAGGACTGCCAGGAGTTGTCCAGAGGGGTGGCCCACTCAGTGCCTCCGCACGGTAGAGATGTTGTCAGCAACGGTTCATCCAAGGGCCCACCCCTCTGCACAGCCAGGAAGGCCAGACCTAGAAGGCCATCTATTGAGTCAGTGGTTTGTGGGCATAACATGACTTTGTGAGGAGAAAAGAAAGACTGTCCGGTGAAGGGCAAGTTCTGGAAAGTTCTGGAGGAGCTAGAGGGCAAATCTTGTCATTTGAGGTGAAAAGTCCTACCCCATCTGAAAAAGTAGTGGTGGCTGGCAATGATAATTAACATTTGGTCTATAGGAAGCAGATTCAGCCAAAGGTAGTCTGTTTAGTTAGCTTTTTAAACTCAGAGTAGAGGAAAATGCCAGTTAAGTAGAGGACAGGGCTTATGACCCTTGGTGAGCCACTCAACTTTGAGATGGAGACCTTGTCCACCACCGGCAGCCACGCCCCCACACCAGCATGTGCCAGGGCTCTCCAGGAAAAGGCAGTCAGATCATCTACTTGTCACTCCCCAAACCCACATTGTGCTTGCCTCGTCTTGCTTTGACTCAAAGTTCTTTTTTTTTTTTTAATTTATTTGACAGACAGATCACAAGTAGGCAGAGAGGCAGGCAGAGAGAGACAGGAGGAGGAGGCAGGCTCCCCGCTGAGCAGAAAGCCCGATGCGGGACTCGATCACAGGACCCTGAGATCATGACCTGAGCCGAAGGCAGAGGCTTTAACCACTAAGCCACCCAGGCTCCCCTTGACTCAAAGTTCTTTCCACTTTCCTCCACTGTTAAAATCCTGCCCAGTTACCCTCTACAGTGAAGCCTTTCCAAAGACCTCAGCTAAAAGTGCTGCTCCCTTCCCTTGGAGCCGATCTGATGTCCTTAGCCTTGAAGGGGTACATCAGACACACCTGACAGCAACTTTTTGCGGACATGTCACCTCACCACAAAGATTTGCAGCCCCTGGGATTTATGGCATCTGTGGACTAGATCCTTGTGCTGGCCTTCAGTGAAGGGTTTTTGGTTGCAGGGTTTCCAGACGGTGTGCAATAGTGTGCTTTCCACCTGAAGGAAGGCCTGTGGGTAGGTAGGATCAGTGTGACTCTAGAACCGTGGCTTTTTTTTTAAGGTTTTTTTTTTTTATTTATTTGACAGACAGAGATCACGAGTAGGCAGAGAGAGAGGAGGAAGCAGACTCCCCCCTGAGCAGAGAGCCTGTGCGGGGCTCAATCCCAGGACCCTGGGATTGTGACCTGAGCCGAAGGGAGAGGCTTTAACCCACTGAGCCACCCAGGCGCCCCTAGAACCATGGCTTTTGTCCCTCATGTTATTCATTCAACATTCAGAAAAATATTTCCTGAGTTCTGTATCTACCAGGCGCCATCTGGGACGTTACAGGACCCTGACTGTGACAAAAATGAAACACGGAATTTCTGCCCTCTCGAGTCTCACAGCTGATGTATGCATACAAATGGTTCATTTTTATGGTGATGACTTGATAGTCAGCAGGGGTTAAGAGTTTGTTGTGTGCAAAGCTTAGACTTCCTTCTTTCTGCCTTGCCTAAAAGTGATACAAAATGATAGACTCCTGACCTTGAGAAGCTTCTACTCTAAAAAAGAGAAGACACAAGCCAAATGGGAAAACACAGAAGACCCATGCGGTAATGCCTCGTTTTCTGGCCCTGCGGAGGATTCACCCAATTCCCCAAGAGGGAATGTTCTAGATAAATGAAATACACCCCACCAGGTGCCCAAACTTTCTTTTGACCACTTTTTGATTGACGTCTTTCTAGGAGGCTTTATAATTTCCCCAGCCTTTTAAACAGAAGTTGTTGAAAACAAGTTAACTTTTTCTCTGGAAACTTCACAATTTCCAGGGGGAAAAAATTTCTCAATCTAAGGAGCCAGTGTGGGCTGGATGATAGCACAGTTGAGTGACTTGAGTGCTGGCTGAACAGCTGAACCTTAAGAATCTTGAGTAACGTACTGGCAGTAGACTAGAGGGAGAGCCCAAGTGAAAATACGAGAGGTACGTTATCAGATCTGCAGATGACTCGAAGCTGGATGGGCCAACTAATTAATGATGACAGAAACAAGGCTGACAGGATGAGACAATGGCCTGGGACTGACAAAATGACGTTTCATAGGGATAAACGTTCACAGTGTGTGTGGAAAAGAACTTGGCTTTTAGCTGAGTACAGAGGCAGCATGAATCATCTATCAGCCCAGTGTAGCTGCCAAAATCTGGAGCACGTACCATATGCCAACCACTCTGGGAGGTCCTTGACGTGCTCCGTGTCACTTAACCCTCTGTAAAGAGGTTCTCAGTTCTGTCTTTACGGAGGAGTTCAGAAATGGAAGTTCAGAGAGGTTAAGAAGTCAGGATTGGACCCAGGAGTGTGTGCCCCCTAAACGTGTGCTCTTAACCACTGGCCGATAGCTACTGAAGTCTGCTGAGTTAATTAAGGTCTGTGCCCAGAGCATCAGATTCTAGATCAGGAGCTTGTGCGGTGGTGGGTAGCTGAGATGTCTCCAATTTAGAATGTGAGTCACACGAGGAAAGACGAGAAGACTCAAGAGGGACGTGATTTCTGGCTTCTGCAGCTCAACACACAAGGCTCAGAGGCTCAAACCAGAACCAGAGTCCACGCACGGTAAGAAAGACCCGCTCCATGTGTGGGAAGATGCCGGACTGGGCAGCCAGGTGGGGTCTGCGTATTCCTGGTCCTGGGAAGGCAAGCCGGGTGACCAAGTCAGGGACATTAGAGGTAGATTTCGTGCCTTGGGAGAGGGGATGGACTCAAAGGGCCCTTTGACTTTGGGATTCCATGATCTTCATGTTGGCATCCTGCCGCTATTTCTGTCTGTGGGCGAACAGAGCTGAGGCCAGGAGTTTAGGTTTGTTCTTTATTTTACCTCTGTTGTGACTCTCACGACTATCATTGTATCTGCCTGGGGATCATCTATGCCTTTCTAAGGTGCTGCCACAGCCCGGGACAATCAAATTAGCTTAGATTTACTGTTTCCAGGAGGCTGGGAGCGAGAGCACTCTCTG